TGGCTACAGGTCACTCGCTCTCAGCTCCACCTTCGGACGAGTCTGTAGAGCCGAGTGGTCCTTACCCAGAGCTAGTTGGCTGCCTCATGTACCTGATGACTTGCACTCGTCCTGACCTCGCTTACCCTCTTGGTCTTTTGGCCCGCTACGTGGCTCCTGGTCGTCACCGACCTGAGCACATGGCTGCTGCTAAGAGGGTACTGCGTTACTTGTGCAGTACATCAGGCATGGGGCTAGTGCTTGGAGGGAGGGACTCAGTTGTTCTCACTGGGCACTCAGACGCTTCTTGGGTTGACGACCAGACTACTCAGCGGTCGTCACAGGGTTACACCTTCAGTCTTGGCTCTGGTTCAGTTTCTTGGCGTTCTACTCGCTCATCGTCAGTTCTCAGCTCCAGTTGTGAGGCTGAGATCTACGCCACAGCCATGGCTGCACAGGAGCTGCGCTGGCTCACCTACCTGCTGACCGACCTGGGAGAGCGACCTCGTTCTCCTCCAGTGCTGTACGTCGACAACAAGGCTGCCATTGCCTTGTGTGAGGAGCACAGACTGGAGCACAGAACGAAGCACATCGCTCTGCGTTACTTCCTGGCTCGAGAGTTGCAGCAGCGTGGTCAGCTTCGTCTGCGTTACGTGGCCACTCAGGCCAACACTGCTGATATATTCACCAAGGCGCTTCAGTCTGGTGATCATCAGCGTTTTTGTACTTTGTTAGGGCTTGTGCCCACCTTGCCTCACTTGCTGTAGGCCTTGTCTGTACTGTGATCTCTATATATACATATACCTGCATGCCTGCTTTGTTAGATTGAGATCACTATATGCCTTTGCTTGTGAACTGGCCTTGTGGCCCTCTGCTTGTGCTCAGAGTGTGTGGTGACATTGTGATCCACCCTGAGTTTGCCTTGTCTTTCTTGACTGGTCTTGTGACCCCTTGCTGTCCCCCACTTAGCCTATGGGGGTGTGTCAAACATTATATATGTTATTGTTGTGTAGGCTACAGTGGGTTAGCCTTTAGGGGGTACAACACTTTAGGGTTTCATGTTTGTATCACCCATCCTTCTAGTCCAAAACACTTCTGATTCTGACACGAAGAAATTAGACACGGTGAAAGCCTGGCACCCCCCGACGAATCTCACGGAACTACAGAGCTTTTTGGGGTTCGTAAACTACGTGCGTCGGTTTGTCCCCGACATGGCACGGTTAACTGCGCCGCTGACGGACTTGTTACGGAAGGGGGTCGATTTTACGTGGGGGGAGAAAGAGCATGCTGCCTTCTCTGCCCTGAAAAATGTTCTCTGTTCACCGCCCGTACTGCGCATTGCCGACCCACACCGCCCATTCGAAGTGGTTACCGACGCAAGCGACATCGCCATCGGAGCCATACTGCTACAGGACTTCGGCAACGGCCTACAGCCCATCGCATAGGAGTCACGAAAACTGCATCCGCCCGAGAAAAATTACCCGATACACGACCGCGAAATGCTTGCGATCGTGCACGCGTTCAAAGTGTGGCGCTGTTACTTGACCGGCGCAGACGTGACAGTACGGACAGACCACAAATCACTACAATACCTTCGCGCACAGCCACACCTCAACCCACGACAGATCCGCTGGCTCGACTTTCTCGAGTCAAACTTTCACTACACGGTCACCTACAAAAAGGGAGCCTCGAACATCGCCGACGCACTGACCCGACCCACTGCCCAGATCCACGCAATACTTCTCGCCCAAACCAGTCCCTTACTGACAGGCCTATTTTCCCACGGGTACCAAACAGACCCATTCTTCACAGGAGGAAACTCGCAGCAGTTCGCAGCAGCAAAGGGAGTCTATTACGTAAAAGTCGGGTCCGACCGCATCTGGGTACCTGGGTATACACTGCTACGGGAATTACTGTTACAGGAGGCACACGACGGAGTTACCTCGGGGCATTTCGGGGTAGAAAAAACACGGCAGCAGCTGCAGCGGTATTATTACTGGCCCGAGATGTTGACCGACGTACAGCGACACGTGGCATCATGTCCCACTTGCCAGCTCATGAAGTCATCACGACAGAAGCCGGCAGGACAGTTGCAGCCGATACCACCCCCAGAGCGTGCTTGGCAGCAGGTGACGATGGACTTCGTCACGGGGTTACCGGCCGGGGCGAGTGGGAACGACGCGATCCTGGTCGTCGTCGATCGACTGACGAAAATGGCACATTTCGCAGCCTGCAAAAAAACAATCACAGCCGAAGAAACAGCACGCCTTTTCATCTCCACCATCGTTCGACTGCACGGGATACCAGCAGCGATAATCAGCGACCGCGACACGAAATTCACCAGCAACTTCTGGCGGAACCTGTGGCAGCAGTTCGGCACACGCCTACAGTTCAGCTCTTCGTACCATCCCGAAACCGACGGACAGACAGAACGGACAAACCAGACTATGGAGCAACTCATCCGAGCCACGTGCGACGATCCCACCACCTGGGAACAACAGCTGCCACTCATCGAATTCGCTTACAACAACTCACCGTCCGCCACGACCCAACAGTCACCGTTTTTCCTGAATTACGGACAAGACCCGACAGTACCCATGACCCCAAATCCCGACAACCCAGTACCACGAGCACAACAGTTCGCCGAAATATTACAAGCAGCACGGACCCGGGCAGCCGACGCAATAAAAAAATCGAACATCATCGCTAAACGCAACGCCGACCGCCACCGCAGACCTGTCACTTACCAGCCCGACGACCTAGTTTTACTCGACACCCAGAACCTCCGCCTGCCCATCACACCAAAACTCCGCCCCCGATACTGTGGACCATTTCGCATCAGCCACATGATCACACCCGTCACCGCCCACCTCCTCCTCCCCGCCGACTGGTACGTCAGCCCCTCGTTCCACGTCACCCTGCTTCGCCCTTACGTCCCGTCCACAAGTCAACTGCCACGCAACCGACCCGCCAGCATGACACGACCACCGACTGAACCAATCATCAGCCCCGAGAAAATTCTGAGCCACAGAGTACGTGACCCTCGAGGAGCCCGAAGGATCGAGTTCCTGATCCGCTGGAGAGACCGAACACCCACCGAATACAATCGGGTTCCCCTGGACAGAATCGAAAACCACCCCGTTCTCACCCAGTATCTGCGCAGCCGAAACTTCAGGGATGTACACGCGCTTTCGTAAGGAGGACCTCCTGAGGGGGGGGGGGGGGGGGGTAGTGTAAGGAAAATTCCTTTTCCTTACTTCGCGTCCCCGCTCAGTGCGTACACCACTGTAGCACCACAGTCAGCAACCGTTACCACTCACATCGACAAACCTCCCGCCACTTTCGCACGTCACATCCCGACCTCACGGCTCAGGGTAACCCGCGCTCCGGGCCTCCGCTTCGACATTTCCCAAACCACAGTCCCAGGCCCGTCACACGACAACCACACGTTCATTAACCGTTACCACTGTAGTCTCGCTATATATTCCTCGCTCATGCCTTCGCTCATTGTACACTTGCTTCGATAGTGCAATTCTCGCTCGCTCACTCAATTGCACTCGTAACAAATACCTATCATACTCTTTCTGTGGTTAGGTTTGTCACGAAAAGAAGTTATGCTGTTTCGTGGTGTAGTTATTCATCTGACTGTGCCCAGAAAGGCGACTATGCTTTCATTGGAGGATTCCCCTCTCGCGATTATCTTCACCAGGGCTGTCGCTACCAGGGCGTTTGCCCTGCTGGACCTTGAATTCCAGGGCTGGGTTGCCCTTGAAAACTGAAATTGATGGGTTGAAAACATTCTGGCCCTGATTCCTTACAGGGCTGAATTTGGTCTTAGGCCTGGTGTCCAAAGGGTAGAATTTAGGCGAGCCCTGGAACAGAATCTATCGAGAACCCCCCTCACAACTCCTGCACTCCCCCTCCCCCTCCCTTTCTATCCTGCTTGCATCCAACCTGGCAAATTTGGAGTTGCATGGTTGAGCCAGAAATTCAACTCAGGGCGTATCTTTGGTTTGGGTCATGGCACTGTTTGGATCATGCGCGAATCTCGCATGACCCAAACAGCACAAAACGGAACTTTGGGTCATGAGAGCTCAAGCGACCCAAGGATGGGCGCGCGACTGAAATGTGAAAAATCGCGAGCCTTCGAAAAGTCGCCCCCAATGGCGGGAAGCCAAAACATTTCGCACGTAGGCGAAACCCACTTTGAGCGACTCCCACGTCTCCTTCCCAACCGTCACAATTCCCGGCGGGAGATGTCAATTTGAGATCCGCCACCATTCACAAACCAAACCCAACCACATACGAGGTAGAACCTCACACAGGTTTCACAATCAACCGCAACCAAACAACACAAACACAAGTAGCATTGGTTTGTAGGCACTACCCGCTACCGTCAAACACGCCACCCATAGCTATCGAGAGCGCAAGTAGAATTGGTTTGTAGGCACAGAATGCCACCACATAAGAATGTTCGCGGCAAGGGCAAGGAGAAAGTGCCCGATGATGAACCGATCGAGGACTCCTCTTACGTAGCCTGGATGAAGGCGCAGCAGAAAGAAGGAAAAGCGGGTCCTTCCATCAAGCGCCTTGCCAAGCCACGGCGCGATTCTGCTGGAGCAAGTTCCAGTCGCGTGCAGCGCAATGAAAGCGGCGAAACTGGAGGCGACACAGACGTCAGCGACGATGACCTCGAGGAGATCGTCTCTGAATCTGGGAGCGAGGATGACTCGGATAACTCCAAGGGCGCAAGTGACGAAGATGATAACGACTCCGACGGAGGCGATGATGCGAGCGGCGCACACCGACGCACCCGTGGATCGAGGCGTAATAGGCGCCAATCGACCTCAAGCAGCAAGCGCAAGTGGGAGATGCACGAGCTAGTGTCACTTGCGGCGGCCCGGTGGAATACGAAAGATGACCTCAAGGCGATGCAAGGGAAGCAGGGAAGTCAGTACTGGAAGAAGCTCCGCGCGCACATGAAGTAGAAGGACCCGACATAGGACCGGGAGAGCGGGCAAATGTCCATGGCGTGGAAGCGGATTGAGAAGGAATACCTGGACACTCAACGGAAGGAGGGGACTAGTGGCGAAAAGGCCATAAAAAAGAAGCCATGGTGGGACTACGTCTACCACCTGAGAAAGCACTCCGCGAAGGCGAAGGCGCACGCGCTTGATGGTGGCGGGGCAGCGACCATCAATGTCGACGCCTATGCCTCCGTGCCAGCGCAAAACGATCCGCAATCATCGGGGGCTCCGTCTCCGGCACGAGCGCGCGGAGCCCGGCTTCAACCATCTACCCCTGGTGCGTCACCGGGTTGTGTTTTATAATCGTAATGAGCGGCATTAACTGTGTTGTTGGTTGGATGGTTGCTTGACTTATTGCATGCTAATGAAGACAAACCTTAGAACATTACAACTCATGAGATTAAAAACACGGCCGCCTTATTCCCTATTTTCCTACACCCCCCCCTACAGATGCAGGTGTCACACCACCTGCCAAACGCCGCCGGATTGAGGAGACCGCGACAATGGCGGCCGCTAAGCTAGTGAGCGAGGCCATCAACTCCACCAATGCCTCCACGCTACGGCAGCTGCAGGATTCCACTCAACTGCTCGTCACGGCGATGCACATGGCGGCGCTTCAGGCTGGGCTGCGATTGCAGATCCCAAACCCACCAGCTCCCGATGCCGCACCACCAACTTCGCCGCCGCCTGCCCAGCCGGGTGCAGAGGGAGATGCAACGATGGACGGGTCCGATGATGGTGCTGAGGAGCCGGATCGTTAGCGCAGAGAGCTGGAGACCCGGTTGCGCCTGAGGTAAGCACGATGAATGTGCTTGCCGAAATGGCGCCTTCGTGCACGCAAATCCGCCAGCGAGGGGTTGTCTAGCGTCGGCCAGTTGTACGTGGTCATCCCGCTACGGGTCCACCACCCATTTGGGAGGCCCGCCCACAGGATGCGCCTTGGGTTATGCGTCTTCATCCTCGGTGTGCTCACTTTCTGCATCATGTTGTGCAGGATGATGATGCAGGCCGTCCCGGCGCAAACCCTCCAGAGCTTGCTCTCGTGCCTCCTTGCGAAGAGTCGCCATCGACCCTTCAGCGCGCCGATCGTCCTCTCGACCACCATGCGCGTCGCGGACTGGACGTAGTTGTACGTCTGTTCCCATTTCTTCATGAGTCGACGGCGGGGTGCATGGACGGGAGTGAGGCAGTAGGACGTTAGAGGATAGGCGGCATCTCCCACGATCTGATAAGGGGCGATTTCCCCACTCTCGAGCCTGCCATAGAGATCAGAGGTCTTGAAAACACCCTGGTCATGCATAGATCCAGGATTCCCCACATTGTAATCCCATATGACGCCTTTGGAGTCGCATGTCACTTGTAACTGAACGCTGTAGATTGACTTCCGATTGTAGTAATCAGCACGATGCGCCTCCATGCCCCTGATCTCCACGTGGGTGCCATCTATGGCACCGATGACGTTGGGGCAACCCTTGATGGCGCGGAAGTCAAGCGCCATCTCTTCACGCTCGTCCTCAGCTCGAAACCGCACCCAGTCACGTTTGAACCGCCGTGGGAACCACACCAGAAAGGCATCAACTAGCTGGTGAATGAGAGCCTTGGGCAGCCCAAACATGATGCTCATGTCATGGAACGTTAGCGCACTTGCAAAGTACTTAATTGGGATAACGCAACACAAAGAGAGAGGAATGCCGTGCCTCTCGATGAAATGCGAAAGAGGGTGCGCCATTCCGTCCGCGATGATGTCGAGGACGTCGCGGGTGATGCGGAACGTGTCCTCGAATTCCTCGTCAAGCATCGCCCTCAGCTCCTCCGTCCATTCTCGAATGCGTTGCTCACGACGCCTTTTCCGACTGTCACGGCGCTCCTGGGCCTTGCGAATACGTTCCTCATCCTCAGCCTGCGACATTAGCAGTATCGTAGTGATCCACTCTAGAGCGGCGAGCGACACTACGCGCTGCCAAGTGTTTAACAGGTGCTCATGCCAGAGATGCAACCCAACACAGAGTATGAGCAGATGTGTCGTGGGCATGGTGAGCCTCCGGAAAGAGGCGGCATTGTGTCATTTCCTAACTCGTGAGCGACAAATGTTCTACGTGCCTCCAGAGCGCGTCTACCATTATCGCGCCTTCTTGCCTGGGACACTATGGTCACCTTGGTGGGGCGCGGCTTGCTTTTATCAGAGGTGGTTTTGTGCGGGGCGAGGCGCGAGGGAGTTTCTCTTCTGGATTTGTGCAGGTCACACGTGTAGACTGGCCAAGGTCTGTCGATTTACAGGTACGCCAACTTCAATTGTGGTGTAGTCGGGAAATCGACGGGGGGGAGTTCGGTTTGACGACCGTCTAATGGGGGGTACCGAATGTGCGGTCGCGCAGTGATTGGATTGGTGGGGGTCAGATCGTGCACTTCAGTCGCACAGAGCTTGCACATTGACCCGAAGCTGGGACCGCGCGCGCTTCGGAGTACCACTTTGGGTCATGCGCGAATTCCGCATGACCCAAACAGTAGTATGAACAGTGCCATGACCCAAACCAAAGATACGCCCTCATCCTTGCTGTAGCACTTGCCGAGTGTAGCTGTAAGCTTCCTAGTTGAAATGAGGCTGCAATTTTTTCCGCGCCAAACCTGATTTAAGGGAGGAACATTTTTCAGCCCTGAAGTCTAAAGGGCCGAGATTTGCCCCGACCCTGCTAAATACAGGGTCGTACATGCCGGGCCCCCTGATTTGTCCGGGGCCCCCAAAACGAATCGACAGCCCTGATCTTCACACACCTTGAACGGTTTTCCGACGAATAAATTGTGCCCTCGTTGCTGATGTGGCGAACGGAATCGAAAAGATTCCCATAAACTTTCGTGTCGCGCCCAGAATGCTGTGTGGTTGCTGATGTGATTATCCTTGGGCGCGCCAGACACCACACACCAGTTACAGGCTTCGAGTCGCGATCTGCTGTGAGGTTCGAACAGGCTGTCAAGTGCGACAAAGTGAGCAAAAACTCAATCCCAGCCAATCCCAAGCACATCGAGCGCACCCTCGTTTCAATCCCACTCTCTCCACCTTCGCCCCACCCACCTACCTACCTACCTACCTACCTACCTACCTACCTACCTACCTACCTACCTACCTACCTACCTACCTACCTACCTACCTACCTACCTCACTGTCAAAGCATCAGTCAATTGCTCTTCTCGTCATTCCACCCCTTCTCTGTTCAATCCTCGCTCAGCTTCTCACTTCACTGGATTCCTTGGTTTCTCCGTTTCCCTTAGTTTCTCAGTCCGAAGGTGCGAGTTTTAGCTCACAGCCTGAACACTTCATCCCGACGCGATTAACGGCGACTGACGTTCAGAGCTTCTGACGTTCGTGTCTTCTGTCGCGTTTTCTGCATTTATAGCTATTTTCTGTATTTCTTGCTGTCCTTATATTATGCTGTCCGACGAAGAGCTTCTCGCCTTCGTGTGTTTGCCGCCTTTCCTGTGTTTCTCGCTGTTCTTATCTCGCTGATTGTTTGATTCGTGTTGCAGGTGTTAGAATGTTTGCAGGGAATGCATGCATTTGGCGCTGTTCAGCAAAGTGTGATGGGAGCACAAGTATCACTATGCCACGTTAGTGTTGTTTCAGGCTTTAAGCATTTTTTTAACGTGGCGTTGTTTCTCGAATCATGTGTAGTTCAGTATACAGCTTTGAACATGTATGTGCTTGTTATTTATTAATATCAAAATTCTCGCAGCCACTTTCAAAATTAAATATGTAGCACGGAAAACATGAGCAGAAGTGCCATATAGACGTTACGTCTATACCATCGTTTTTACTGGCGGATTATAAATATACATTTACGGTCGTCAAATTCAGGACAATGAATGCTTTTACTATTTAGTTCCATTTACAGGCAGAGAATACATGCATGTATATAATCCTCAAATACATGACCTGGCCATGTACGGCCATATCTTAACGGGACATGACTGGCTGTTTCAGTCAATATGCAGCCGGGCAATTCACGGGCCCCAAACGTCTACGAAGCAGCCTGTGTACAGCCCGGCAATTCCTGGCCATAAACCCGCCATATGCATGGCGATTATGGCTGTAAATTGCCATTTTTAAGATCCACTTTTTTGAGATGCATGATGGTGCAATCATGATGGTGCAATCATGATGGGGCAATCATGATGGTGCAATCATGATGGTGCAATCATGATGGTGCAATCATGATGGTGAAATCATGATGTTGCAATCATGATGTGCTGAACGGTCATGCGCACCTGAGCAAGGACGATGGTGCTGAACGCACGCACTCTGGGAGCTGAATCCATGAGGCTACCCACCAAAGGGCATGCCACAAATGCCACCAGCTGGTGCAGGAGAGGGGATGAAGGAGACGAACGAGAAGAGAAGGGCATGAGCGGGGATGGGGGGCGGAGGAAAGCACAAGCGGAGGAGTGTAAAGAGAGAGAAGGTTGAGGGAGGAGGGTGGGAAATGAGATGGATGTGCTTTGAAGTTCGAGTCTAGAGGTTTGGGTTTTGAGCTGGAAAAAGGGGACGGACGGAGAGCACACGAGCATGTGTGTGTGCCGGAGGATGTGCTCACCCGGCTAGTGAAGCTTGCTACAGCCACTGGCAGTAACGAGTGATGCAGTAACGAGAGCAGGGCTGCTCTGGCGAACCGCCACGACTGCTCGCCGAAGCAATTGAATGCATAGGTCCAATACAGAGCTGCAGAGAGGTAGAAAGCAGAAGAGAAAGGGACTCAAGCAGATAGGCATTTCAGCGACTGGTTAGGTACAAGGCTGCCGCAGAGGGCAACAAGGCGGGGAGAGGAGAGGGGTCTGGAAGAGGAGAAGGAAATCAGAAAGTTTTAGCACGGATGGAAAAGGTGGGAAAGTGAGGGAGAGGGCGGTGTTAAAGCTCCTGGCAAGGTGGACAAAGAAGAGAAGAAACAAAGGAGACGTTCCAGGAATGAGAAACCTTGTAGTGTCAAGTTGACCTGGTCAACGCACCTTGGAGAGCAGCTGGATGGGCAGGATGAGCAGCCAAGACCGCGTTGACCGCGGGAAACGGCTTCTCCGCATTTGGGTAGAATGATTCCGACTTTTTCACCACTGCTTGCGCCGCTTCATGTGCCTCTTTGTGCAAACCCTTGGGCCAGTGATTCTCCTTTCGAAGGGAGCTCTCCGTCTCAAGTAGCTCCTCCGTCGCCGTGCTGCTATCGTCGTCACTCTCGCTCTCGCTCTCGCTGTCTGATGACTGTGATCCACTGCTGCTGCTGCTGATGCTGCTGCCACTGCTACGGCTTTCGCGGGTGCTGCTGCGGCTACTGCCGCGGCTGCTACTGCGGCTGCTGATACTGCGGCTGCTGCTATTATCCGATTTCCCCGAGTTCGACGAGTCATTCCGTAGCAGCGCAGATGATTGATTAAAGTCGGTACCGATTCTTATGCTGACGCCGCAGCCAGTGGCCGCGGTGCCGCCACATTTCAGCGGGGGGCCGTCTCCGCAGATCTCGCTGCCGCCACGCTGGTCGTCTCCCCGCGGTACAGGCGAACGGGCGGCGCGACTTGTGCGCCGCCATGCGGCGCCTGCTACGCCACGTAACAGGCTGCTCCAAAACCCGCCGCTCGGGCCGGTCTCCAGTTCACGCGGCGGCGACTCTCTCTCAGCATTAGCCGAGCCTTCGTCTGCAGAGTCCGTCGGTACCGTGACAGTGACCGTTACGTTATCGCGCGAATCAGCATCGTTCCTTCCGTCTTGGAGTTGAATCCATTC